GCCTGGCGACCCTTTAAAGTTCCAGGTCTTAGACTACGACGAAAAAGGCGATGCAACTGTGATTCTGTGAATGCAATCACATACCATCATGGTTTGCGGAATTCAATCTTTTGCAGAATGCCATGTTGAAAGAATCCTTCGTTTGGAACTCGCCATGTTGCTGGGTAGACGACGATGACAATCTTGGACAAGCATTGCTCCAGAGCAGTGACTTTCACCCAGAAGGTTTTGAAGGCTTGAGCTTTGGCTTTGTTCGCTGCGTTGGCTTTTTCCAGTTCTTTTCCATGTTCAACGCCCCTCTCCTTTCTGTGTGTTCCTTGTCAGGAGAGATCAGTATTGGTGAGGGCATTGTGTTGGAAGCACAGAGCGTGCCTTTTTCTTATGAAGCATTTGCTATGATGTCCCTTTTGAGGCATGTTCGGATCGAGATTGTTGTGCCAGAAGTGGATGAGGAGGTCATTGACCCTGCTGGACATGTAGGCCACCTTGCCCGATTTATGCCACAGGGCTAGCAGCCGCATGAAAGTCCACAAACTATAGTAGTGGGCTGAATGTGCTACACAAAATTTCAATATGATTGAAATGCTGCGGTTCGAACCCCACAGTTTCACCAGAGTAAGAGTTGATGGCAGGACCACGGGCAACTCGCTTGCAAGTATGCTGGGGTTATATACTGGAAAGTGCTTTGGAGAGAAAGTGTGAGATGTTTGGGAAGTCAGGATCGTGAGCCTGCCCCCTTCCAGCTCAGAAGCTTGGCCCCAAGACAGGAGGGGGAGCAGACTTACCCAATTGCAGCCAAGCAGTAGCTTATCTTGGCCTGAGGCATGGACAGCGGACGAACGCCAGATGCAAAGACTGTGGAAGGGTTGAGTCAATGCTCTATGCCTTCTTGGGCTTGTCTCAGAACGAATCTGGACAGCTTTGAGTTGAAACCGTCCTAGATTCTGCACAATGAGGCACCGCCTCGTGGCCTACACAAGAATAGGTTACTTGGCTGACCTCTCAGAAGTGTTCAGGGCGTAGCCAACCTTGTTTGCACATCCCAGGCCGTAGCAGGAAAATGCTCGAAGATAAGATCGATCTCGTTCTAGACTCACCTGGCAATTGCGATGTGCAGAGCCAAGGGTGGGTTGACAGGAAACTGTTGTGAAATGACAAGGTGCATGCTGTTTGTGGATCCGAATTCGGTTTCAGGTCTCCAGATTGCATGCCATCATCAAGTGCTGGAGAGGGCACGCGTCTCAACCTTCTCAGTTGTTGCTGGAGTAGGTGTGTTTCTTGGTTGAACGGGGAAGTAGCAGCGAAGCGCTTGTAAATCTACCAGTGTGCTGTCGCAGGCCTGATCCCAACACTTGGCTGTCACGAATCTATGACGAGAAGGTCCAAGACGGCAAGACACCGCACTGATTGAACGTGCCCGCTTTTCACGAAAGGTAGCCTGGTAAGGGCTAGCTTGAGTTTGCTTTGCGAAGCAAAGGGGTTAGCTTGAATAGCCTGCTCGGGACCAAATATATATATATATATTTATCAATTCTATTCACCCCCCTCCCTCCAATGTTATGAATATTTGATTAATTAAATTTTGGTGACCCTCCCTCCCTCGCCAGCACCACTATCATCACCCACCTACCATAGCGTCCATTCACTGGCAGTAACAGCAGTGCTCCTACAATGAGGTTGTGCAACAGGGCTTCGACGCAGTGGGTGCAGCTCTTACACATGCCAGCGTTTACACGCCACAACTTTAGCGCAAGCCAGTGTTCACACACCATATTGCTCTACACAAACGAGCTTTGACGCAACACAGCCTCTACTCAAAGCCGTGTTGACAAACCTCACCACACCACATGCACTAGCAACCTTTCCTCGCGACCCAGGTCACTCTTATGCACTTGCGCAGTACAGTTTGGCACCAGGCAATTCTTACACACCACGGCTCTCACATACACCAGTGTTGACAAGCCTCCACGACACCACATGTTGTAGCAACCCCTCCTCTCCGACATAAGTCCCTTCTTTCACACACCACACTTGATACACCACTCATACATCCCTGGTACCTCTCTACCTTTTGTGTTTCCCTGTCTCAAGTGTGTTTCTTGTGTTGGTCAGGGAGCAGAAGGAGGTGCTGGACAGGGCCCCGGCGGTGGCCATAGCGGTGGAGGAACGACGGTTGACGGCGAGCAGGTGGATCCTGTGCTAGGCTGGGTCGGCTGGGTCGGCTGGGTGAGTGGTCTGCATGGACCGGCGTTCCTCCGTTTTTGGTGCCAGGAACCCCGCTGGAAACTGGAAGCGTGCCTCGACTGGAGAAAGTACGGCTGAAACGCACGTTAAGCAGGCTATTGAACTCACAAGAAGTGACAATGATTGTGCAGGTATTGAGGTTTGGTGTCCGTGAGATGTGGGTTTTTGAGCCATGAGCCAAGATTGGGCTTGCCGATGTTGAATGGCCTTGAAGGTCAACATGCTTCCCGCTTTAGTCGTTCGTTGACAGGCGTGCTCCCATGCACCTTCGTAGTCAGGCCGAGCAGTTGCACCAGAGCAAGATTGATGCAAGTTGTGTTGAGCGCAGGATGCTGAGATTGCATGCAACAAAGCTGCCGCAAACTCGCAGGAGGACCGCTTGGAAAGGCAAGAAACGCAAAGCGGGGGTCGATTGATCTCCACTTGATGCAGTTTCAAGCAGCAGGTAGAACATGGTAGAAACATCATGACATCCAACTCCAGGACCCAAGCCTCATAAGAACTCTCAAGATACCCAGCCGGGAGCTCAAAAATGCCATTGCCGGTGCTCCTCTGTTCCGTTGCCCTCAAATCGAGGCAATGCTGTTGATTCGGCGCTGCAGAGATGTCCAGACTGGTTTTCGATCGTACGGGTTTGGCACCTGGATCTGAAGAAATCAGAAGCCTCATCAGAGCGTCAATTCTTTCAGGTAGTGCTGGAGTGCCGGTTGGAGCCGGACGAGCCAGCATGCTCGCACCTGAAAGGGGCCAAAGTAAAGACGATTTTTGTGTTTGTAGTGTATATGTATATGTAGTTAGTAAGTAGCATCTGAGTGGTGGTAATGTTCAAGGCTTGGAGAATGGGGAGACAGGTTGATTTGTTGTGTCGTGCTGAAATTGCCTTGGCTGTTTGGTGACGCTGCGAGCATGCTCAGGCGTAGACTGCATAGAGACGCAAGATGAGTGTGGGCGTACTGCATGGCACCAAGCAGTGTCCACAATGCTGACGAATTGGAGTGAGTGTTGAGTGGGAGAAGGTATCTTCGCACGCGAGGTTGGAAGACACGAAGCCTATTCGCAACGCCCTCAAACAGATAGGAACACACACACATACATACATACATATATATATATACACACTGGATATTCACATATTCGTATTGCATTGACGAAGCACTTTCCTGATAGGTGGATTCATCTTGATTCAGCCAGGCTTACGGCACAACAGAAATATGACATACAACGCATTCTTCGGGAGGCCAGAATTGCTCATGTTGCATGATGGGGTGGAGAGTCAGCCAAGACGTCAAGAAATGATCCAAACTGGGGCCCGTGGCAATGAGAGGCTTTCTCCCCTTTTTGGTACTCACAACTGCAAGTCGCTCGAGAGGGTTCAACATGCCAGCCACTTGGATAGATGCAAGTGCTGCAAGAGTTCGCCAGATTAAAGTGGGCGGCACCGTGCGGCTACGCCTTTCGTCCTTTTCCCAGTTTGTTAAGGTGTGCATTGCACCTGGACCTAATTTCGACAGTACTGAGCGATGTCTCAAGGAATGATCCAAAGCTTCTTGCTCCAATCTTGGAGTATTTGGAGCAGTGATGGCCCAAGGGGACGTCCGCTGTGACATTGCTCGGTTTTGTTTGAATGCGCAGCTTCACTGCTACACCATAGTAGCGATGGCCTCCACCCTAATAGCCAAGGCCTCCAACCTGATGCTTTTTCAATTTTTTTTCGCAACTTGCCCACTTTCGGAGGCAGCGAGTTGAAATGCAGCAGATCTACCAGAGCCGCGCGCAGGCCACATGTATAATGGAACCGGCCAGCGTGTCGCTGCGTCCAGCAGACGAGTCCTACAGGTCCTGAAGTGACATGGCTTGACGACATGCTTGAAGGCATGGAGTCTGGCTTTCATTTCTTTTGATCACTTATAAAATTTTCATCCTCATTCATCTATAATTTATATTTTTGCTTTCTGTCTGAGCGGTTGAACGGAAGGAAAGCCAGGGTAACTAGACTAGGCAGAGGCAGGATCCAGCCAAAGATGTCCGGATGCCTTGGTGCCAATGAGCACTCGAAAAGTCTCACTCGGAAGTTTCATCATACGCCATCCCATCAGGTGCAGTAAAGAAGCACCACAGCTTGTGCATTTGGAGGTGGCTTTCTGACATCAAATCATGGGTTTGGCAGATGCACCCTCCTACCAGGAGAGGTTGCTGTTGGGAGTGTTAATGTACCTGGCTGCTTGCTCCTCAAGCGAAACCGACCATGTTTGCTGGGCTTCTTGCCTCCCGCACGGCGCAGGAGAGCTTGGTGCTGTTTGCACTCCGCGTTGAGCCTTTTTTTTGCTAGACACTTTTGGCAGGCATGCAGGCAGCTTCTGGGCATTCAGTATCTGCACTTGGCTTGGAGCTGGTATTTCCATGTATTTCCTATTCTTTGGAGTCTTTGGAGTTCGTTTGAAGTGCGACTTTCTCTCCTGAGTCTAGTCCTAGTCTTCCAGTATTTTAATTTTGTCTCAAATTTCCGCCTCAGCGTTTGAGCAGATCATGGGAGAGTCAGGCCTCGCATCTAGAGGAATCATTTTGCCCAATCTTTCTTGACTTGGTCGGTATAGCTGCTAGTAAAGCAAAACCTGTTAGGTGCAAGGGTAGATAATGCAAGCATGTTGGGTAGATCTCCTTTATTGTCATTCATCCTTCATATCATGGCGGACCGCCTTTGCAAGGGAAGCTTCGGACCCGGAAGATGATTCTCAAGAAAAGGGTTTCGTCTTCAAATGGCACAATTTGGAGAGGAGTTGCTGTCAGTTCCTGGCTATTTGCGGGAGGAGCTCTACAGAACCCTTTTGGCATATTGTTCCCTGACTGCTTTTGGACCTATTAGCAAGTGAACACTGTGAACAGTCTTTTGCCGAAGCATGCTGAAGCACTTGTAGTCTTGCTCAGGCTTCGTGTAAGCGTGTGTGGGATTGTGTATGCTCATGTTACTGGTTTATTCTTATCGTCATCATCATCATCACTTATTTCACTTTTTCTTTCCTTCACTTTGTTTGGTGCTCGCTTTTGCTTGAGTAATTGTATTTCTGGGTGCTTTATGCGTGCCACTACGCGGCTGGGTCCGCCCGCACCGGGAGAAATGTCTGATTATCTGATTGCTTCCATCATTGAGCCCGTTGGGGGCTCTGGAACCCTGCATCGAAGCACATGAGTCAGAGACAAAACTATCGTCGGGGGTCGACTGAGCTTGACCTGGATCATGGGAAGAGGTCAGGGAAAGAGTGCGGATCCGTTTTTGTTTCCATGTCAACGATGCCCCACAAGGTATGTTTACTAAGCCAAAAGACAAGATTCCCAAACGTACACCTGGTCTGCTGCTGCTGCTGGCTGCTGCGCCGCCGCCGCCGCTGCCGCAGCAGCTGCCGCCGCGCCCGCTGCCGCCGCCCCCGCTGCCGCTGCCCCCGCTGCTACCACCACCACCACCACCAGCAGCACCAGCACCAGCACCAGCACCAGCACCACCACCACCACCACCACCACCACCAGGTTAGCTGCTGCTGCTGCTGCTGCTGTGAAGAGCTTCGAGAAGAGATTTGGGCAAAGTTTCTGGTGGCCAGAGTGGGTTCATCGGAGGTGGTTCTCTCTGGCTAATACGAACCCCTAGTCAGCTAGAGCCGTACCATGAAGCCGCTGGTGTTTGTTGATGACGGTTCTACCCGGTTACTTTAGACCAAATGTAAAAACACGGTGTTCTTGAATGCTGTTTTTTCAAGAATGCCTCAAGAATTTGGGGTCCCAAAACCTTCATCAAATGCCACAATTTACGACGTTATTCTATTTTGCATTCGATGTTCAATAACCTTCAAAAACTAAGGTTTGTTGCCCGAAAAAGGCCCCCCCAGCTAAAGCTGAAAGACTATGCCTTCCGGATACACACGCCCCAGCACCTTCGGTGCAAGCGGATTTCTCACTTGTTGCGCTCCTATCTCTCAATCATTGTGCTCTTATCACTCGGCCCCTTGGTATCAGTGACCATTGGTCACCTCCATCCAGCGGCCCTCCGTTTGTTTGCGCCGGGCTCACGAGGCAGCCGAGGGCTCCAGGTGCTTTCGGGACACCTGAGTAGGTGTGCTGGTGTCTCACCCCTTTCCTTTCTTGTCGACCTTTTTGTGTCTCTATTCAGATACTGAGATTCGTGTTTAGCGGTCCCCTTCTCCGCTATATATCAGAATCAGCGCGCTGCACTGTATGTCAATAGTGGTTCGATGCATGCGTCCATGGTGCTGCTATGTGCTACTGCATCGACAGTGTGTGTTTGTGATTATGTGACACATCCTCCCGTTTTTCTTTTGTACTGTAGGGTGTGCCGTTCATGATGCCGGCCCAACATGAGCATCGTTGTTGGACTGTTCAATGGCCCTAAATCGCGGTGGTTGAGAGACATGCTGCTCACCAACGTGTGTGTTGCCAGTATGCCTTCTGGCCAACACTGCGGTGGTATCTGGCAACACTGCTACTAGTTGAGTTTAGCAACGTAGAATCCAGAAACTAATCAAGTGCGTGACAAATGTTCGATGTAAAGCAAAGGTTGCAGCAAGGCCTTTGTCCTTTTTCTCTCCTTTTTGGCCACATTCGCACTTCGATGTACTAAACAAAACATATATTTATATATCATATCTTGTCTCGCTGTCCGCCGTTGACTTGGTAGTAGGATAGGTAACCACAAGGTCTTAGCTCATCTTAGCTAATTGGAATCTGGACTCGATGCTGAGGGGATGCCACGGTTGTAGAACATTCAAGACCAATTACAGTTAGAGAGCTTCAATTGTTCAGACATGTAAAATCATGTAAAATGCAAAGGGCGAACAGACATTTTGCTTGACGTTTTGTTAGTGACTAGTGGGAACGTTACAAATGGCTGAGGTGACCTGGAGGAAGATGGATGTATGGAGAAGATGTGTCGCAGCTACTTGGATCCGGAGTATGTCTACCTTCTCGAGGGCGTGGACAGTGAAGCTGGATACTGGCAACTGCAAAGCACCACAGCGGAGCTCCAACAGCTGTTTAAAGAAGATGCTGCTTTTAAGCTGGTTGGGCGCATCCGACACCCACACAGGTCTCACGAAAGCGAGTATGCTGGGGTCATTGAACTTGCATTTCGAGGGTCAGATCGTGTGGCGCACATGCTGATTAATGCGGTAACTTTCCTAGTTGCGACTGAAATTGGAGGCTGCATTGGCAAGGTGCATCAGGGATTTCAGATGGCATATTTGACCTTGAGGGCGGACATGCTTCAAAAGATTGAGGCCGGATTAACGAACCAAGGGATCAGCAAGCAAGCATCATTGCTCGTTCGGGCAACAGGGCACAGCCTGGGGGGGGCACTGGCAACATTGTGCTCATACGACCTCGCCCACCAGCACCATTGGGAGAATGTGTCAATCCAATGCGTGACTTGGGGTTGCCCCCGCGTTGGAAACAGGGATTTTGCAAACGCATGTTATCAGGCTGTACCCCGATATGGCCGGTACATCAACAAGATGGATATCCCATCATGCTGGCCAGGCAATCCAAAAGACCCACATGATTACTACAATCGTGTGCGATCAGTCGTGGGTGCGGCTAGCTCACCATTTTGCGCATTGATGAAGGCTACTGACTACCACCATGCTTGTCCGTGCGTTGTGCTAGATCCTAACACCAGTACCTCCCTACATGTGATGATTGCTGGTATGGAGGTGGCAGCATTTGCACGAGACGGAAATTCTGCTGCTGCTACTGCCCTTTTAAAGCCCCACTCGGTAAAAGGATATGTGGAGGCTCTCGCACATGCGTTGGAGGCCACGAAGCTCCGATTGGACAGTGAGTGGGCAAAACTGCCCTCAGTAGGCACTTGGTTGATGCCGTACCCCGTGGAGGAAGAGTCGCCGAAGCAGGACACCATTCCGAGCCAATTCCTCAAGACAGTCAACGCGGAAACTCAGGACTTCCTGAAGTATGGACTTTCGCTGCTATCTTCTTTTAAGGGACGTGGTCCACGCGTCCTTCTTGACTGGCATGATGACATCGGCAGATACAGCAAGCAGCAGCTGGCAGCAATGGGAGTTGAGCCGAACAGATTTGAGACTCTTGGCAGATTAGAATTGTGCTGGCAACGGGTAGCTAGCACAAGCAGGTGGAGTTGTCAATTGCTGCAGCATTGTCATAGCGCACCTCTTTCAGACAGCTATTTGTTGGGGGTGGCTCTGACTGAGGAAGGTCCCACTGGAGACGATCTTGAAATCAAGCTCTGAGTTACTTCACACCGAAGAAGGCCGTTTATTGTTAAGGCTGGCTGTTGTCCTTGTAGACCCATTCTTTCCCGGCTTGCTTTTTGCCCCTTGTTTCGGTTTGACTCGTGAGGCACGCTCAAGAGCAGCTGTTGACCATGCTTCCCATGCTCACAGTGGCCGCCCACGAGGAGAAGCCTTTTGCATTCAGACACTCGACACAGGCATTCTTTCAAAAAGCCAGGTCAGAGGTACCCTAGGCTATAGAATGCTTGTCATGGTCACGGGAAGGAGTCTCGCCAATCAAAGCAATCGAGCAAGGCCATAACCTTGGAGCTAAGTAGACTGAGACAATGCTCGGACAGAATGGAGAGCTTCAGACAGATTCGATTTTAATGGCTAAGAGCAAAAGAGCAATCCTTGCAAACCTTCCAGGCGCCTGGAGGTTGCCTGTTGATTTTGCTGCGCGGAAACTACCTACAATTCCCTTTCCAGGTCCTGGCGCAGATGGAGAAGCACGGTGTGGCTGCAAAGGTTCTGTCATGGAGCCGCCAGAAGCTCATGGATGCTGAAAAAGATCCCGTGCCTTCGAAGCACAGTGCGAGTATCAATCCAAAAAGTATCTTAGCAGAGCATGACTTGAATTCCCCAGGAGATGCTGCGCAACCTTCTTGCATCCTTCAAAATGGAGAGCCTCACAGAGCTTGGAACAGAAGTGTATTTGACAAATGCTGCTCGTCTCCGTGGCTTGGCAGCCTACAAAATAACACAAACAGCCAGCCTCTCAAAATTCTTGGGGCTCCGGGGATGCCGTGCATCTCAACATAAGGTGTTTGATCGCTTGCACCTGTGTTGTTCGCGTGTCGCGCAACTCAACCCACTGGACAATGCTTCACACTCACATAAGTCTTTTTGTAGCATCTTCTTTGTGCAGAGGGGATGTGTTGCAACTCCACCCAACTTATCAACTTGGAGTTTCTTCTATGTCTATATTGAGAGAGTTTCCCACTACGCGGACGTCCATTCGTGCAACTCCACACCAAATGTGCGATACCGGAATTGATTGTACGCACTGAGTGTCTTTTTTTGCTGATGACTGGTGAGATTCTTTGGCAACTTTGATGTGTTCTACTTCTGTCATCAAACACAGTAGTTGTTCAAGTTCCTTGTTTGCTTTTTCAACGGCGACCTTCATCAGCTCAGGATCGATCACGGACAAGGTGGATTTCTCGGACACGGTTGCCAGCAGTGCCAAAGGTTTGGGTTTGGTCTTTGAAGATGGTGTGCTGAAACTGGATGGGTTGATTGCCAAGGGGCACCAGTACATTGAATCCGACAAGGGCACCGAACTCCTGAGAAAAGCGCAGGAAAAAGCGCTTGATTTTACCAAAGCAGGCCTTTTTGAACAGGCCAATGGGTATATCCAACAGCTGGAGCAATCGGAGAACAGCAAGAACAGCAGAGCCTTGGTTTGATTGTACATTATATACTGTGTTTGAGTGGATCGTGCTGGTCCACGTTGGTCCGGATAATATATATATATACGATATAGCATTCCAAGTTTGAGTCGAGTCCTGGGTTAGGACAATTACTGGAGCAAGGCCGCGCCTTGCTCGCGTCGGCTGAAGATGATCCGGATGCGTTGAAGAAGTGGTTGGCTTCTATTGAGGTGCCCGTTTCCGTGCTTCGGTCCCAATGCCTCGATCCCTGCTTTTTTGGGGGTCATTGGAGGCATCAGAAGCAAATCAATGGCAAGAGTGGGGTGCCAAGATGGCCGCTCAGCAGGATTTTAATGCTTGCTTTGTAGATTCAGTCTCGATTTGCTACACTTGCCAGCAATGCACCTCCAAGAAACTCTTCCAAGGTCTCCAACAACGATGGAAAGAGATGCTTGGCCCGACATCACAAAGAAGGCCATGTACACGCACAAACATCGGCAACTGTACTTGGGGGTTCTTGTACTCACGGATGCTCACAAGCTTGTCAATATAGATGCTGGAAGATCCTGTCCTGATTCAGCTCCGGACCTTGCTTCTCAGTAGGGGAAGCTGTCGCAAACGCATTCCCTAGGAATCAACCAGAGAAATGGGGAGGAGTGATTGTTTCAGAAAATGTTGATGCTGAAGATTGGGATCTGTCGTTTGCCAGTGGCCCCGCTGAGGAGATGAATTCATCAAGACAGTGTCTGAAACTTGAATGAAACTGGAAGCCGGCAGCAGGGACCTTGCGACTGACTTTGTTATTTCCTTTTGTGCCGGTTCACTGCCACTATCTCGGTGTGAGCTTACGTGCTGCTTTTGAGGATCAGTGCTCTGCCTTTCTGACTGAACAGTTGCGCATCATCAAGGTGCCAAAGCAGCTTGACAAACCAGATTGTAGCAACTGTCCAGGAAGCATTTTTCCGATTTGCTTTTCCATGGAATGTCCTTATCCGAGGATAGAAAGCCCAGCAGATGGGCACCCTGTCTTTGATTGTTGAGCTTTTACTTTTGAATCCCTCACCCGTAGTTATTCAGAGTGAGAAAAGACACTTGTGTTCTTGCCATTCTGCAGAATAGATGTGAGGAGTGCGTACGAGTATTGCATTGATAACATTGACCTTTCATCCTGTTCTGTCAGCAAGGAGCCATTGGTTCTGAATGTTACTTCTGGTTCTCTGGCGTTCAACTCGCTCTTTGGTTTGCTGCAGCCCTTTGCAGGATGGGTTCTTCATTGATCTTAAGTCACCACGTGGCTTGCCAGACGAAGAACCTCGATTTGCCCGAATTAAAGTGACAATGTGTGTGGCCCCAACAGGGCAGCTCTGCTTGACTAAAGCAATGAAAGGTGCAGAAGATGCTGCTGACATGGAGGGCTCGCCGGTCACAAGTGAGGAAGGTCAAGTTTGGCATGTTTACAAACATGTTCCTGGAATTCATGTGGGTTCATCTCAGCAGCCGTCGGGAATGTAACAATGCAGCTAATCTAAGCCACACATGTTTTGTTCCCGAGCCAGGGAAGAGACCCGTCAGCAGTGGCGAGATTTTGCGAGTGACTGCAAAGGACATCAAGGCATGGTCTTGTGAAGAAAGCTTGTTCAGCTGCGATTCAGCTGTTTCACCTTTGGACTGTTGCGGCTTTGTGGGTTCCTTCGTTGTGCCCAGGTCCGCATACCGGAGGCATGTCCGCACTTCATGATTTCAAAAGGAAATCATGTTGAGGGCAACTGACATACAACGCAGAGCTTCTGACTGCAAAAGCCAAGGAACTCAAATGGCAGTCAGCATCTCAGGCTCTTGGCATTCCAAGAGGCACAAGCCGACCAAGCTTTCTGGACAAGGGATCAGCAAGCCGTTTGGCTGACCAAGGTATAAGCAAAAAAAACTTTCCATACTTCAATGGGAATGGCACAGCTGAGACTATCGCTCATGGTGCTGAGATAATGCTAGCGACCCTTGGCAGCAAACAACAGCCACGGACTACTCAGAACAGCACGGGCGAATGTGTGTCCAAGGTTCCAACTTCGTTCTGCCAAGGATCGATGCTTCGTTCTGCCAACTTCGTTCGTTTTTGCGTTTGCGCTTTCGTGTCGCTTCCTCTTTTCGCACATGCGGCCAGTTGAATGGAGATCTTGTGCCACGACTTGCCCTTGCTTGCAGCCACGTGGCCTTTCTCCGAGAAGACAAAGATCGGCATAGTGACATAGTGTGGGCTAAGCACCAAACGCCGTGGACCCACAGATGTCGAAGTGATTTGACGGATTTTGTTGTTAGGTCATTGACAAGCTCGTGCTGAACTTCAAGGAGTCCAAGTTAAGTTGGTTGTACAACACCATGGGCACCTTGGCAAGCTTGCCTGTTGCTGCCGTCCTTGCAAGCCTTGGAACATACATGTAGTGGATTGAGGCTACCTCTTCCAGACAGCTGTGAGGGATTATGTGGTGTCCACGCTTGGTGCAGCTGTTAACGCACCTTGTTTCTAAAGTTGCTTTCACGATGATGGACGATTTCCAACCCCCGTGAACTGCACAGGGCAACATGGCAAGTCTGCTCACTCCGCACCTTGGCAATTATTTTGTGAAGTCCTTGCTCTGCTGAAGTATGTGGGATCGTCCAGCAGCGTTTGAAGATGTAAAGGTTAAATGGCTATTTGCGCCCATATTGGCCGTTGCTTCTCTCCAATGTCGCCATTCCACTGGAGAAGCTGCCAAGCACTGACCTGGAGGACCGGATCCAAAAACAGTAGCAGCGTAGCAGTTGTCATGGTAGGATTGCTAGCTGTAGAGTGACCTCGCCCAGGAATACACAGTTCTGTTGGGCTTTGCTCTTAGACACTAGCGACTTGCTTTGCTTTTGTTGCCTGCGGCCCGCACGCCCGACCCCTTCCGACCCGCATTTTCACTAAGGGTCTGAGGGGAAAGTGCCGGTGGGCGCAGACTTTGTCGATGCTGAGGGAGGCCTCACATTGGTTGCATTGGAGGATGGAGGCTTGGGGACCATTTTGTGCTGTTTGACAGTCATGCCACTGCACAACCAGAATGAAGATATGAAGACTGGTGCGTCAGAGCTTCATGCGCAGATGCAGGTGCACTTCATCGCTGGAACCAAAGTGCTCCAGAAGAGAGGAAGGCGATGATTTAATTTTCACCCTGTGAGGGTTTTGGAGATGGCACGAGATGTTCATATTTGATCTTTTTTGCGGGGGCTGTAGGTGAAGACTGGTGACTTGCTTTACCAAGTTGACGGCAAGTGCGGGGAGGACATGATTCAGGCTCTTGACAAGCAGGAGGTTGATGAAGCTTGGAGCATGGATCGGCATGATGCTGTTTTTTCAGACTGGGGAGTCAACAATGCAAGCAGAGTGTGCTGGAGCTCAGGAGTTATTGTTCCGGCGAGCAGCCACAAAGGCGGGCTGTCCTGTGACACAGCATTTCAATTGGAACAGCACTTTGAAACGAATGTTATTGCCGTGAGGGGGCTGTGATAGATTGGGATGAGGCCATGTTCGATTCAGGCGCTCTCTCAGAATGCATTGTTGGCTGCCTTGTTGCTTGTGTGGTTCTGTTGCTAAAGGTTTGTTGGGGTAGATGGCCCCAAACCCCAAAAGGGGTGGTAGATTTGCAACCACAATGGCCTTGCAGGTCCAGACGGCGAGTGAATGATCGGATGCCGACCATGACACCTCGCAGTCTCACCCAAGGATGGTCCCACAAGCGACAGCCGTTGATTCAAAAACACGGCTGCCATGGGCACCCGCGGGCCATCACCACAGTTGTTCTCTTGGCTCACAATCCTGAGGTTGGGGACCCGCAAGGTGAACAAACAGGCCGAACAGGGAGATTGGATCAATGAACACGATCAATTCAACATCAGTTAAGTTCAGCTACTAGGGGCTCCTGGCCTTAGTACTAGGAGCAAGGACGCTACTAGGGGCTCCTGGCATCGCTACCAGGAGCAAGGACGCTACTAGGTTAGAGGCCATCGCTAGTAGGATGGTTTTTTTGACGTTTTTGTCTCACTTTGCGAAGATTTCCTGATGATTTCCTGATGTTCTTGGACCCCCTGCTTCGTTTGAACATTGTGAAGGCAGCTCTGGCCTAGCGCTGGATCTCATCCAGCTGGTCTGGATCTGTGCACTTGTGGTGGGTTACTGTATTGAGTTATATACATGCCTCTATATAGATGTTGTAGCCTGTTTCTCCTTAGATGGCTGAAGCTTCCGTCACACTTCGATAATGACCCTGCTGTTTGCGGCATGCGCTCCACTGTTGGCTCAGACAGGCACAAAAACTCGCAAGCAACTGAATGCAGGCAATTGTATGGGACTTGTGTCCATGATTGTTTGGACAACTTCATCGTGCGCCACCACAACAACCGCATAGAACATCACTTCCCGCGTTCGGTTTGTGCTATAGCCGACAAAAGGGTCAAGGCTGGGGCCATGGCGGGTAGCGATGGCAGGCCTTTGCTGCAGATAGCGCCCATGATGGAAGTGACGTATCGAGACTTTCGGTACTTTATGCGACTCTTGACTCGGCGGGCTCAGCTTTGGACTGAGATGGTGGTGGACGATACCATTCTCCACAACCTAGACACCGAAAAGTGTGACCGCTTCCTTGGTTATGACAAGAAGGAGCATCCTATTGTTTGCCAGCTTGGGGGCAGTGATCCAAGCAAGCTAGCGGCAGCTGCGGAAGTTGTGCAACGGTATGGATATGATGAAGTAAATCTCAATGTTGGGTGCCCCTCATGCAGAGTTGCAACGAAAGGTGAGTTTGGCTGCTCTTTGATGAAACGGCCAGAAGTTGTGCGGGATGCCATCCATGCAATGAGCCGTGTGGTGCAAATTCCCGTCACAGTGAAGTGCCGCTTGGGAGTTGATGATTGCGACTCGCAAGATTTCACCCGTGAGTTTATTCAAACAGTGGCTCAAGGTGGTTGTAAGCACTTCATCATACACGCCCGCAAGGCTTGGCTGAATGGCTTGTCGCCAGCACAAAACCGGACAATCCCGCCCCTTCACTATCCACGGATTTTAGACCTTTGTGAACGTTTTCCTGACCTGAACTTCAGCATCAATGGAGGCATCGCAGATGTGGGCCATGCTCGCGCCCTTTTGAACTTTCCTACTCAACGCTTGGAGGGTGAGAACTCAGAATTGTATTCAGCTGCTTGGGGTTGGTCTTCTGAGACCGGCCAGGCGTGTCCAGTTCCTCCCAACCTCCAAGGGGTAATGATTGGCCGTGGAGCTATGAACACGCCATGCATGCTTTGGGATGTGGATCATTCAATGTACGGTGAAGAGAAGCCTGCACCAATGACCCGCCGAAAGCTTCTTGAAAACTACCGACTCTACTTAGAGGAGGCACATGGAGATGGATCAACAGTTGGCTCTACGCACTTGGCTTTGAAGCCAACACTTGGAATGTTTGCGGGCCTTCGAGGGAACAAAGCGTTTCGTTGTACGGCTGACACGGCCATGCGAAAGAAGAACGAAGAGGGTGCCGCGGCGAATGTGTTGAAACTCGCCATGGAGGCCGTAGAGGCAGCAAATCCTGGCATTTTGGACGAGGTCTTGCCTGCGACCACAGCTTTCCAAGTGGCCAGGCAGAATGACACGCCACGAGGCCAAAAAAGAAAGCCGGCTCAACCAGAGGCCTCGGACATGATGACCTGCGCTGCTGAAACTGTCCCTGTCCAGATGGCAGATTCCTCTCCGCTGGTGACAGTCTCCACGCAGTAGCACCCCTAAAACTGCTATGCAGTGTAGCTGCCTTGGCAATGCCAAGGACATCGCCACTCTGCTATTCTGGGCTGTTTCGGTGGGAGGAGATCTCCTGAAGTCCTACAACTACGAATGCAGTTGCAAACTCATGATCTCAGTCTAACGGCTTTGTACAGAATGTATCGATGCAAATTTAGCATCAACATGCCCACACTGTGCAGTGAGCGATCCGAGGGCAAACACGTTTGCACCCTTATGCTGAGCAAAATAGTTGCCCGCATATTACCTTCCAGCTTACCTTCTCCAGGCAACATGTGCCGCTAGTGACAGTTGGTTGAAAGCGCGCCACCACTACGCCTTGTTGATCCAAGGCTGGGTTGACTGCGGGTGCATCCAGTGCCGCTTCCTCTACAGCCTATGCCGTGGATGCCGGGGCTAAAGCAGAGGATGGCTGTCATGAGAAGAGAAAGAGCTCACACACTGACCCTTGATCACAGAGAAACTGCTGATTTTACTTAAGGCAGTGGTGAAGGAAGTCGTTCCCTCAGCCATTGGGCCCTTGAGAATTGCGGTTTCAGACCTCCTCCGGCTTGAGGCCCTGTTGTTCTTTGCCATCATGCCTCAAGATGGCCTAGAGGCCCTGGGAAGACACAGGCCCACGGAATGCATTTGATCAGCTGCACACACACACACACACATATATATATATATCATACATGCATACATCTATATTAGTGGAACCTTTTGGAATCATAAGGAGCCTTTTGGATCCTTTTGGCTACAATAAGACGACCGGCCATTTCATGCGTTTTGCTTTCTACCGACAAGTGCTCGTCACGTCTGGGTGACTCTGGTGGCTGGACCATTGAGATGGTGGAGCCGTCTTGCTTGCATATTACTACTATAATACCTGGTTTGCTCAAGCATTTTTTCCGGTAGGCCGTTGGGAGGTGGCGCAACCCAATCAAGCACATCATATCTTGAGTGTGTCTCTCCTCGTGAGAGCCTGGAGCGAGCCATTGGCTTGGGTTGTGTCTTGTTTGTTGCTCTCATCTGTCTTCCCCGTCATTTGCACCCACGCACTTTCTTGTCCCGTCATGTCCCGTCTATTCTTTCATGTCTCTTCCGTCTTTGCTCTTTACGTTTTTTCATCTCATTTCTTTTGTTCTTTTGCACGCGCATCTGCCTCAGCCTTAGTGCGCACGCACACTCACTTACACTGCAACTAGGTTTTCACGTGCCCCAGGTCTTGGTACAATGAGGTGTGGCTCATTGGTTGTCCCTAGCTGTGATCTGGTTTCCTCATTTCCTTCACCTACATTGCGCGTGTCCTTCCTTCACATCGGCTGATTTGTCTTCGTATACGCCGTGTAACCTTTTGGCCGGTTTAGATTTGCAGGGGGTGGCAGCAGAGCTTGCCACCAGCGAAGACACTCTCGCACACCTGGTGAGAGTGATAATCCCAGCGTACCAGCGCTGTACCGAGATGGTGGAGCCGCCTTGCATATTACCATATTATATCATATTATTTGGTTTACTTGAGCATTGGCCATGGGGAGGTGGTGGAATTCAATCGAACGGATCATATATTTTATTCCCCAGATAGCGAAGCTATGGGGTCCTTACTTCAAATAACAATGAGTTGCCCGCGCGCGCTTTCGAGACAGGTTGCTGGTGCCGGTGCTGGTGCTGGGTGCTGGGCGCCGGTGCTGGTGCTGTGAGCTGTGCACGTGGTGGAGACAGGTTGCTGGTGCTGGTGCCGGGTGCCGGTGCTGGCCGGGTGCCTGTGCCGGTGATGGTGCTGTGAGCGGGCCGCGTGGTGGAGACAGGTTGCTGGTGCCGGTGCTGGTGCTGGGTGCCGGTGCTGGTGCTGTCAAGGGCCGTACTGTTCGCGCGCATACTTTTGTACGTACACTGTTCTATGCGCAACGTCAGGCTCTCAACCGACCATTGTTTCAAGTCGTGCTGGATACTGCTTGGCCTTGGGCGAGTGAAGCCTACGGGCTTTGCTGTTTGTGCGCACTCTTTTGCGCGCATAAACTTATACGCGCAAGATCATACGGCCGTATCGTTCTAATTACACATCGTTGCTTCAAGCGTGCTACAAAGGCAATAGTGGCGCTGGATACTGCTTGGCCTCGGGCCAATGACACTTACGGGCTTTGCTGTTTGCGCGCATACTTTTGTGCGCATAAACTTATACGCGCAAGAGCACACTAGGGATAGCTATGGGGTTCTTACTGCAAACTAAATAAGAATGAGCTGGCTGCGCGCGCTTTCGAAGGGGTGTCAGTGCTGGTGCTGGTGTTGTGGTCCTGGGTGCTGGTGGCTGAGCGCGCGTTTAAGACGGACGGCGGTGCTGGTCGGGTGCTGGCGCCGCCCCCGTGTCAGCTGGCAAAGCGCACCGGTGCTGGTGTCAGCTGGTTGCGCGCGCTGTGGAGGCGCCGTAAGCTGGCTGTGCGTGCAGGCTGTGTACATTCTTGTTCCAGCCAGTCGCATGTCAACAGGTCGTGGGATGCTGCCTAGCTATCTGGGTCTATGCTGGTTTAATTTAATGTGTGTGTGGGTGAACCTCCTCCCATTCGCTCGAAGGCCTTCTGCCGGTGCCGGCGAGGACTGACGGCAAGTGAATGAGTGAATTTGCTCACCCAGATGTGCGAAGGCTGCATTAGTAGCAAGCACGTTTGTCCACGATTGTCGTAGTAGCACGTTGCACAAAACTTACAGAGACGAGCCTGACGCGCGAGGAAGTTTTTCGCGGCTTCGGGCAGCAAGCGCACGCAGATGACATGGCCCCAAATTTTGGTTTCCATTCGCCTTCCAGTGACCAGTGCCGCACAAGGGTGCCGGATGGTAGCTAGTTCGTGGTTCAAGGAATTGTTTCTTGATTGAGGCCCGCGCTGCAGGAGAAGCCTGCGTGGTGGACTTGAAGACTGCCTTACTTTTGCACGGGGGGTAAACCACGATCACAATCATATTGTTTTGGATGTGTAGTTTTGCTGAAGGCTCTGGCGCACACTTTGGCCGCCAGCGAGAGCAGAGGAGGACGGCCAACTGGTGCGGCCTTGATTGAAAAGTCTTCCAAGCAGCAGTAAAGAGTGTGTTGAAATGTGGCGTATCCTCCTGTTTCTGGTCTCACGGACTCGATTCATAGGGGCGTGAAGGGGCACCAGGGATTTGATCCTTTCTGCCATCAGTGGGATCCAGAAAATTGTTCCAGGCTCGCTGTCTGGAGGCATGTTGCGGATTTCTTGAAAAACTTGTTCGCCGACACTACACTGTCAAGACTTTCCAGTGGTGGGCGGCTGTCGCAGGCAACATTCTTCCAGCTGCACTGGCTGCTGGCCGTGTAGCCAATCACGCTGCCTCTTGGCTAAGCCTTTGGTCCAGCACAGATTCCAATCAACACTGGCTTTATTCGGTGTTTTGGAAGGCAATTTCAATGGGGTCCCGTGGTTTAGAAGCCAGGACCGGACAGCAGCAACTGCAAGAGAAGGTGCTCAGCTATGTCAGGCCCTCATGAGTTCCTAGATTCTAGGTGCACTTGACAGAAGTTTGAAGGCTGTGCTGAGTCAAGCGCACGCAAGCTGCTTTGGGCCACGCACTGTGCCTTAGTCTTTGAGGCATGGGAATCCTGGAGGATGCTGTGCAGGTACGACGCTGTGTGCTTTTCCTTCGTGATGTTTTTGATGCATCCTGAGTTCTTTATACATTAATTGAATCAAGGTCGAAATAGATCCTATCAAACTGCCCACCCGAGCAATTGTTCATTCACTTGGACATGTCATGTGATGACTTGTTGGCTAGTCCTAAGACAACATATATCCCCAAAGCGCTGCAATTGACACCCAAAATGCAGCGCCCGCCTGATGTACGCAGCCCCTGCCTTTGTAACAGAGCCCAAAGGGTGGCTCAGGCCTACATTCTGCACCTCCCACCACCGCTGGCCTCAATTCGGTAAAATACCTGCTTCTGTGGGGCCATTGTAGAAGTGCAAGCGGTGTCAACAGAGTCGTATAGAGACCGTGGATCACTCTGCTAGGCTCACTTGGCCCGAGAATTGTCAAGGGTTTGATCAAGTTTGATCAGGTGTGCGAGGAGGAAACCTCGATCTTAAGACAAGTGATCCACTTTGTGTAAAAGAGCCTCCTACATTAGATGACAACTATATATAAGGGGCACACACACACATATATATATATGTATATTTATATACACACATCAGTACGCATTTCTATAAGTGTGTGTCACCTCCCGTTTTCAGGGACTCTACTGTATCTTTCTATTAACTCTCTACTGGCGGATTTGTACAGACAATCGCAGGGGGCCCATGGAAACTTGGATGGCATGGGCCAACGAAGACCCATCCATGTTGCCGTGAAAACGTACCTGCACCAATTTTTCAAGCTTCATTCCGCTGAATCTTTGTGAGCCTAAGTATGGCCAAAGCTGCCTAGTGCGGTGTTTCGCTATAAAGGTCTAATGCACTCGGCTAATTAATGCAGTAACGTGAAGGGCTAATGAGCACCAAGATCCAACCTGAAATCTTGCTCCACGGAGCTCTTTTCTCAGGTGTGTGCGTGTGTGTATGTAACATAGTTCTGACAGAAATCTACAAGTGTTCCCCTCTAAAGCTTTGTGCTACATTAACAAGAGGTACCGACCAAAGAGCTACAATAGAAGTCTAGAAGCTCAAAGAACTTCCACAGAACCTGACTTTGTGAACCGCAAAGGTTCCCTGCCTAAGCACTTTCAATCCAACCCACTACCAATGCCAAAAGCATAATGCACACAAGTGACCAAACTATTTAACATGAGCCACCTTTTCTTTCACCAGCGAATACAAAGTCTTCTTGCACCCAGGGAGAGAGAGAGAGAGAGAGTGGCTCAAGATATCGGCTCAAGCAGGGTAACCTGACCTTGAGTTCGGCGACGGCACTGGTACTTCCACTTGAAGATTGACTTGCACATACCCTACCTCGAGGGTACCTTTGCCATTGCCCGTGATACGAGGCTGAAGAGCTCTTTGTGCAGTACTTCATCATGGGCACGCCTGGATGGGAAGGATGGCAGTTTCCCAGAAGAAGAAGCAGGAGATCCTATGTGGTGTGCCAAGGGTGTGAAAGCTCATGGATCTGGATGGACAGAATTTCATCTACTAGATGGAGATGTGACAATTGCAATACACCCTAGCCACGGCAGGAGTGGGGAGGTCGGCTGCACAAGACTCCCAAGAAGAGGAACAGGCCGCAGAAAGACCGGACG